ATTTTTTTCCATAAGCCAAGTATTTTTTGATGATTTGATGATTACTTCAATAGAATCAATAGATTTGTGATATATATATAATATATGATATAATAGATATTTTTATACTTTTTAAGACGCTCCTGACGTTTTTGACCAAGTTGCGTTTGAAAATATTATCCTCTATAATCCATTATAAACATAGCTCTTTGTTAGCTGAAACTGGATTTATAGTATCGCTTACTGTGCCTAATTAAATTCTAGAGCTGTATATCTCTAATTCAAACACTGATCTTCCAAAACCATTAACTGATTTTTTGTGCAAATTTTTTTGTTAATGCAGTTTTTGGATATCTATCTTCAAACCAACCAGCCTACTTACAAAGCATCGTTTTTGTAATTTCGGATTCTATTAGCAAATTTACTGTTTTGGTGTGCAATTTACTTGCCTGTAAACATGCATTTACAATGAATATATTCCCCGGATTTTATTTTCTTAAAAAATATACAAGAAGTATATTGACAAAACTAAAATAATTAAGTTTCTAATGCTGTTGTTCATTAACTTACTAGTTTCATTAACACAGACCTTCAAAGTTGTTCTAGATCTCCAGAGCCTAGAGATCCTATATATGTTATAGTGAAAAGTATTGCTCACCTGTGCAAATGCTCCATAGTTTATTAGCAAGGCGATATTACATCGTGATCTAAGAATACTAATGATATATAAAGGAATCAATGATATAAGTGACAGACAATATAAATAACTAACTACTCATTTGATTTTCCGATTTTCCTATACGCTTGATTAACAATAGAAACCGTCTATGTAGATTAAATAGGAATGAAATTGAATTTTCATATTTTAAATTTTTCAATGTGAATTATTTAATTTTTCCAGTATTGTAAAAATTTAAAAAAAAATATAATACGAGTCGACGTGCTTATCACAATTGCGTAAATATTTGAAAAATATATATCACAATTACATCATCTCACTTAATAGGCATTTTTCAAATAGTTAATATTGCTCATATTATTGCTAAGCCTTCCACAATATCTAATCAATTTATCTGAAAACACAAAAGATAAATCACCGAAATATTATTTTTAATAAATAAATTTTATTTTCAATTTCAGTTTTTATATTTACAATGAGATCATGGTGTAAAGCAAAAAAAATCTAAAAAATTCAAAAAATAATATTTCGAGTGCAATAAATTGCATTTGGAATTGAATCACAATTTTGCTTCCGTCTTTTAATTGATGTTCATGAAAATTCGTACATGTCACGGGGTACATACAAATACTACAGAATACTCTATACATTTAATAAAAATTCAGACATCGCATATACTCGCGCCATTTTTCCCATGTGGCACAACCCAAAACTTTGTTATCACCAGCCTCCATCGCCGCATTAACAAACCCTCTGCCTGGCTCACAATTCAACAATAATGGTTTTTGTTTGTCGGCCAAGCACATGTAAAATTCATTCGGATTCACCGTATTCCATGGTTCACTCATATGGTCCTTGTCACAAGCCTCCACATAGGTTACAGCGGATATACAAGCTGGCCACTGTTCAAATGGTATGCAACCATAATAGCCAAATCCGTTAAAAAAGCCGCGTCCCTCAGGACAGCGCATTTGTATGGCCGTGTTCGTTAGCGCATCACATATATAATAAATGTTCGGGTTCACATCACCCCACATACCAGTGGGGTGCTTACAAGGTACGTTAATTGTACCCGTACAATTGGTATTGACTGTTTTCAAAATGATAACCAAAACGACGAAGGTGTTGTAATAAATAATTTTCATTTTATTCTGCTTCCAATAGATTTTTCAATTTTGCGCCTTATTTTTATATGAGTTCTGAAGTTTGATCCTTTGTCATATATTCTTCTTTTTTATATTGGTATCAACCTTTTTCACGACAGCGTATCAATCAATTAATTAAATTATTTCACGACTGATTGATTTGCGCATTTTTCTTTTAATTTATAGAGTTCTTTAGGCACATCGTAAAATAGATTGGTGATTTTTTTATATTTTTAGACAAATAAAAATTCGTAATGACGTCATTGAAGTAAAGATATATTGTCTTCTTATCTGTTTAGATACCAATAAAAGTATTATCATTTTGTGATTCAGATTTAATAAGTTATTTTTAATAAATTTATATTGTTTTCAACTTTTATAAATTATATCAAATCTAAAAATAATGAAAAAGTTATTTGTTTAGATAAATTTTGAGACTAGAGTATCAGTGTAAACGTTTTAAATGGCACGAGGAAACAATAATTTTTCGATATCTGTTGTGCAAATATTTGCAATGGTTTGTGTTTAGATTGTTGGTGTTACTTGTCGAATGCTTTGATGTTTGTCATTTCAATCTTGTGGATGCCTTAGGAACAAGTAAACAGATTTTAACATACACAAATCGGATTTGTCAAATTTTAAGTCCGGAAGTGATTACGGAAGTCAATTGCATTCCGCATGAGTTTTACTGAGATTTAAGTATAAATACACTTAAATTTAATGTAATGCTTAATTGGTCTTAAAATAATTAAACTAATGTTAAGATCATTACATAGAATTAAAATATTAATATTAAATATTTACAAAGAAAAAGGTAATCTAAGAAGAGAGATTCTTCCTAATAGTAATTAATGCATTAAACATAATTTACTTTTACGAGCAAATACAACATGGTATCTTGCTTTTTATTTGTAAGTGCAGTCTTCATTTTAAATAAATGTTGTATTTGCAATTACTTATTAAATAATGTAATTAATGTAAAGGATGTACTATATAAACTGACAACGTAATTTACCATAGCAGTTATTGTACAAGAATCACAATTCCTACTCTCGCATTATCGCCGTGCAACTAGATAATATGTATAACCTACGGAAACATATTAAAATCAATCCGCATACTCGGATCTTAAAGTCACAATTAACTTGGTGTTTACACTGCAACATAAGCGATTACAAGCAGACGTTAGATTTGAAACAAGCAATTCGGTATATTAATGTGCCGATATAAGGCAAGTTTATGGAAACATAAAAATGCAGTGTTCTGGATTATATCAAAGCAGTCTGCTAGACTAGCAGAAATTAGCTGGAAAATAACACTCTCTTATCCTCAGAAGAAAATAGACAACTTTCAGTGGCGTAGCTACAATTATGCCAAGGTGGGAAATTAATATAAAATATTTTTTAGTAATAGTTTGCAGTGCATTATTTGCAGATCATATTATCAAGAAGGAAATCTATTCACTAAACCCGCCCTGGATGTGCCCCTGCCAACTTATTCTGGAATTCTTCTGTTTATTAGATTAGATGATTATTATTAGAGAAAACTCTGAAAAAAATATATTATTGTCAAAAAAAAAACATTTATTTAAATTGTTCATAAGCGACTGTGATTAACAACTCATCGCGCAGAGAAAACGTTAAAGAGAGTAAATTCTTGCTAAAGTTCACTGAAAACTGTATAGGTCACAGTAAGCCCTGATATTGATAATTCAAAGATCTTATTTATTACTGTAATTATTTTGAGAGTTTTTTGTAGAGACTAATTGAATAATACCTGCAAATGTTAGTTTTATTTATCAGGATTTAGCAAAATTATTGGTAAATCTAACTTTTTTGGTTTGTATCGGCAGTTACATTATTGCAGAAAGGATTTCAAAAGTGCTGAGCCTATATTCTGTAGCTACTCGTCAACAAAATCTAAAATATGGTAAACTTTCATCTTAGTTTCAATATGTGCAAGAAAGGCATAAAAAGTAAGTAAATAACATTCTAAAACTACTTGTTAATCATTATATGCACTTCTAAGACCGGGACAGTAACAACATCTATAGAATGGATTGGATTTAATAACATGTTTAAATGTATTAAATACCAGGTCTACTTTATTATAAAATAATTCAATAATTCGAATATTCTAGAGGAGTTCTAATAAAATTATAAATAATAATAAATTTTTTTGGCAACTTTAAATAAACTACTCGTATTATACAAGTCAGACAAGGTTTCGATATGAGATATTCATGCTTACAATACTTGCTATATTGCCTTATCATCTATTCTGCTATTTTATTTATCTGATTTTTTTCTGTTATCTCGTTTTATTTTCTTATTTTATGATTAGTTTTTATTTATTTTTTAATATTTTTTTTTTATGCATATATTACTAATATCTTTCGAGATCTCAAACATCACTTTAAACCATATATAATCTTTTTTTTTTCATTTTATTTTTAAAATTTCTTCCTACTAAATAATGGGTTTCAGAAGTATATTTATAAAGATAACTTTTTTTTACCACTCCACATCTTCAAAAGTTTAAAATGCGTATAAACTATATTGGTTATTCTTTTACAAATCGAACACCTCTTTAACCTCATGATTTCCGATTTGGCTGAAATTTTTTTTATGAGCTCCTTTCATAAAATAAGAAGACTCGTATCGTTTTATTATTTTGATAGAAATATAGTGTATATGGGTGTGTGAGTCTGTGGGTTTGTGAATATCAAACTTTATAAAGAGACTTTGTTAATCCAGGCATAGCAATTGATTCATTTGTTGAATTTTATGGGAACTCTTATCGATATAAGTGTCAAAAATAAAGATATAAAAGGTACATAAGTTCTTTGAATTTGACTACCCGTTAGTCAAATACATTTTACACATACATTTTTGCAATATACATTTTATATAAATTAAAAATAATTCATTTGTGACGTAGTTATATGTGTAAAAGGTATTAAAATCTCGCCGAAATCAAAGTTACTTTTTGTCGTACTACTTTAAAACTATATTTTGAAAGTAAAGCTCTATGTGAAGAGTAACTAAAATTTATAATTTGAAAATGGTGCTAAGAAATTTCACATTTTTCCAGGCATTGATTGACGAAGCTCTCTACTGACCTGTCATGACCACATGTGGTTTTTTTTTGTTTACTAAACCTAAACCTATCTATTCGAGGATAGGTAGCACAGCATAGTCAATAATGGTTATAAAAGAATGTTCATGATAGAAATTGAATAATATTTAACCTTGCAATGCCAGATTTTTACTTACAAAAATATTTATTTTGCTCTAAATGCAGTAAATTTTTAACTTACACAGTTATAAATATGAACAGGACCAGAGTATTGCAATATTTTGAATTTTGCAACGAGATATGACCCTTCATCTAGCTCCGGACATTAAAAAAAAATATTAAAAACATTACCAAATAAACTTTTGATAGCCATTTCTACAAAGTTCACCTTGAGGTGGGGCTGGACATTAGAGGGTTAAATCAATCTACAAAAAGTTTCACAGGACTAGGTCAAAATAGTTGTACATTGTGACCGAAAAGTTTTCGGGAAATTTTAAATAAAACGCAAAATTCTTAACCTTCATCAATATTTATTTTATCTCTTCAAAATATGCTCCAATAGAAGCGATACAAAAATGCAAACGTTTCTTCCAATCATCAAAACATTTTTATAGGCGCTTTCCGGTATGGCTTTGAGTTCCCTCTGCGAATTCTGTTTTACGTCTTCTATGGATTCAAAACGCGTTCCTCTGAGTGGTAATTTGAGGTTGGGAAACAGGAAAAAGTCACACGGTGCAAGATCAGGTGAATACGGTGGCTGTTCGATGGTATTTATTGAATGTTTGGCCTTAAAATCGTTGATAATGTTGAACAAATTGAGGTGAATCGGAACAAGCCGGGCGTTGACACGTCGCATACACAAATTGTCCACCAAAATCAAACGAGCCATCTCACGACCGATGCCTAGCTCTCGTGCTATCTCTCTAACACTCACATGAGGATTTTTGAACACGATTTCCTTTGCCTTTTCAATGTTTTCGTCGGTGGTAGAGGTCGAAGGTCGTCCAGAACGCGGCATGTCTTCGACGGTCGTACGACAGTCCTGAAAGGCTTTGTACCACTCATAAACTTGAGTTTTCGATAAAACTGATTCCCCATAAGCCTTTTGTAGCATTCGCAACGATTCTGCACACGAAATTTCGTTCGAAAAACAAAATTTGATGCAAACTCTTTGTTCAATATTTTTTTCCATTGTTTTTTTCGCAACGCACTACTGAGGTGAACTGGTTTCAACAGCTGCCGTAAACGAACTGTCTGACAGATCGCGCTCATTTTTGGCATAGTAATTAAGGACAGTGCTGCCAAACTACATAAACTTAAAATATCGAAAAATATACAGCGCGCGAATTTTAAATGAGAATATCCGAAAACCTTTCGGTCTTAATGTATTGCACTCGATAGGACCCACTTTAAAAGCCTCAAAATAATTGCTAATTGGTTATATTTTTTCGCATTTTTTTTAATAATTCCAAATACTTTCTACGCAGAACGTGAAGCAAAGTCAAAAGATAACTCAATTTTAAAATCAATGAACTAGTTTTTGTTTTATGGAACGACACTGAAGTAATGAATCATTTGTTTGGTATATTGCTGTTATTAACATAGTTAAAAATTCAATACTTAAATATGTTTACTCGAAGTTCTATCGACATTTCGTTAAAACTTAAAAGTCGTAAAGAGGAAATTATTTTGTATACAAATTGTTTTATCAGAGCTTATCAAATCGTGCCCAAAACATTAATGTTAAATTTTAATGGCAATCAAAAAAATGGTAATAAGCACTAAATTTAAGATTAAATGCTTTTCGAATTGTCAACTTTATCAATTTTGTCATTTAAAATAAAACAAAAAATAAATCAAAACTTTGACTAAAATTCAGATAAGCCATGCCAATTGGCTCGGTGTCGTGATATGGACTAAACTAGATTTTTATAAAGTCAAGCTATTCGAAAATTTTAATTAGTCTTTTGTGGAATATCAGTGAAAACGTGAGTGCTTAAAACAAATCGGAATTATATTCAAAAAAACTATCAACAAAATGATTAAAGGTGCTTTTTAAAAAGATGTCGAGTCAGTTACTCATATGTGTAATAATTTTGATATAATTTTTTAGATACTGTTATTGTGGCTGGATTATTAGCTCTCTGTGCGGCTGCAGTGATTTATGTTGATGCTCAAGCTCAGGTTGAAGGTTGTTTGTATGAAAATGAATTGTGGGGCTCAGAAGATGGCACAAAATTTTACTTCTGTTTACCTGGTACCAATACTGCAATTGAACAAAGTTGTGCTCCAAATACATTCTTTGTGAAAAATGATACGGTATCTGGTTGTATACCTGCAACGAGCATGGATCCAAACTGTGTGAACTTAGAACCAGTAGGTAGCTGTGTTGGTGATAATCTAAATCAGCCTCAACCAAGTAGTGATCCAACTAAATATTACTTATGTACTTCTGAGAATGCAACGCCTTTGCAATTACAATGTCCAGATAACAAAGCTTTTGTGAAACAAGATGGTTATTTGGGTTGTTTTGAATGGTCGACATGGCGCGATATTCGAGATTGTCCATCGTAAACATATATGAAAAACCATTCACAAATTAAAATAAAGCAGAGTAAAATCATTTTAACAATGAAATTGTTTATACAACTTTATTTTGTAGAAAAATAATCAAATAATAATATATAAGAATAATGTAAAAATAAAATAATAAGACTGGACAAAAAATAATTATTTATTTGATTTCTTGATTTTTAAACAATTTTCAAAATATTCAGAAAAAATATAACTCTTTTTATAACAATTTACTTCTAAAGTTTAAGAAATAATATATTAAATTAATTTTAATTAAATTATTTTTAAAAAATAATACTTTCTTAAAATTTAAATGCAGTGTAAAAAGTATAAAATTATTAAATTTAAATACCCATTTCAATATATCAGTATTATATTAAATATATTAACTCAAAATATTAACTCGTCATATTTGGTATAGGTGTTATATGTATTATCTTATTTTTAGTGATTAAAATATAATCACGCCAATAAAATAGGCATTTTTTATTGCCTATAACATATCATATATTAAAAATAATTTGGCACTATTTTAATTAGTTATGGCGACTTACAGATATAAGTTTAAAGGAAAGTTACCAGTCTTATTGTTTTATTATTTATACTTAAAAACAAACAATCTTACAATATCAGTTCCATATAGATTTCAATCATTTTTAACGAGAAACTATAATGATAAGATAATTTCATTTTATAAATTATTCCTTTATATTACTACCGATTTAAAAATAATTAAAATTTGCTATAAACAATCAAATAAATTTAATTTAAGTTTATAAAAAGATTAACTAAAGAAAGTTTATATACATGTCAGTATTCGTATATATTTTCAATTTAGTATTTTATTACTGTTCTAGATAATGTATATAGGTCACGCTTTCAATATTTTAGAACATTGAGAACATGAGTAACTTAGATCATCGAACTATTATTACCTTTAATTTATTACCATAATAATAATATTTAGCTTGAAAAGTCATAAATTATGGAAAAAAACTCTACTCTAAATTAAATAGAAAGTGTATATAATTAAATAGTATTTAAGTGTTTCCATTTTTATTTCCTTATATGTAGTTTTTTTGCATATAAGCATAAAGTTCATATTTTAAAAAAAATGTCTTTACATTAGATTATGCACAAAGTCCATGTTTAGACTTATTATAATCATGGTTGTAGAGATTATAATGTGGAAAGTGTTAGATTAGGCCTCATCTACATGGACGAAAAGGAAATAGTAGTACATGTATTTCTTTTTATGTATATGCAATACACATATATATTATGTGTTTCTTATGTGTTGAAACAAATCAGAAGATGATAAGATGACCTGAAGAATGCAGAAAAGTAAAAACATTGATTTAAATATCAGTCAGTGTTTTACACAAAGGACAACTTATTACTAATACATAATCAACACAAACACAAAATACTTTTGGTCTTCAATCTAAAAACAAATCCATACGGTGACAGTCGATTCCATATGGATAAAGGCTTATACCAGATGTCGCATTCTGACATAAATGATACATTTAACATGAAGAACGAAGTTGTGTTTAATAGTAAATACTATTTTAGCTTGTGAGCATAGCTAAGTATAGCATAATCATTTTAATTTAGCTATTTTAAGAAACGATTAATTGTATATAAGCAATTTTAAATAATTGACTATAGAACCATCGTGAAAAAGATAATCCTTAGGTTAGGTTAGGTTAGGTTATACCGGTGATCCCTAGTGGATCCACTTAGGCCTATTGGCCCATTGTGATGCCGTATATAAATAATAAAAAAACCTCAGAGTTTAAAACCACCTAGAACCTTTTGCGAAGCATAAAATGCCGACGTGCATGAGCTGGACAAAAACACAAAAGATGAGATGCGCTCTCATCGTAATCCTTAGATAATCCTTAAATAATTAAAAGTATAGTTAGATAAGAAAGCTAGACCTGGACAAGACTAAGATTTTTGACTATGGAACTTAACGAAGAAAGAAAATTTATTTATTTTCTCACCCATATAGGTTGGTTCTGAAACTGAGATTTTCATAAACGGGTTTATGGTGTCAAAATGATTTCTAGGCGTTATTTCAGCAGAAGAGAAAGCCTTGCTGCCACTTAAACCAACCATAGCTAAGATTCATATTGTTCAGACTTTTATTTATATAACAATGTTTATTGATGTATGAGAGGAGTTAAAATATTGAAGATATTGTAAATATTGAAGAGTATGCAGACTAGATTGGAGTTTTGGAGAATATCAACAATGATTGGATATCTTATATTATGAATGTATGTTAGTCTCCCTTATACAATAACTATTATCGGTTATTGAAATTAATAAAGAAATGAATCGCTAAGTAATCAATATGTAATATTAATATTAACAAATATTTTCTTTTTGAAAATATGTAGCAAGAGGAAATGTAGTATTATATATTTGATTTTTTAAAAGTCAACCACTTATAAAAATTAATAGAAATTGTTCATTTTATTATTGGTACAAATTCCTTTCATTTTTATTCAAGAAAAAGTTTTATAAAATTCCTTGTTATTTTATATAAGAATTTAAATAATATTTATGTACATATATTGTATATAAGAGTGAGTGTACATTGCTAAAGAATATTTTAATTTTTATAAATAAATTGAGTTTAAAGCTCAGAACATTTACAATCATAAATCAGTTTATAAGCTTCTCATTCAATTATGTGTACGCATATGGAAAATATTTTATAAAATTTTACGAGCGAAATATTTGTCTATAAAATATTTCACAGATGCCAGCCAATAAGCAAACAAGATTTAAATATTTTATGAGATTTATACAATAAAATTTTTTAAATGAAATAAGGGAAAATTGAAAATATTTAAAGAAGATAGGTAGACACTCTTACACGCACGTTCACATTTAAACCTTTTGCATTAAGGCATTATATTTATGTAAACATAGTCTGTAGACATTTTTTCCAGTAAAAAAATTTTAAGCCCAACAAATTTTATTACAGCTTCCAGCTTGACTACTTGACTACTTGACTGCTTGACTGTTTCCTTTGTCGGAGCGCACCTTGCGCACTTGCCTTACATTTTTTACATCTACAAATATTGTATTTGGTTTTATTCAGAATATATATATATATACATATTCTATATCGTATGTCGTTTTAACATGGCTTAAACTTGTCCACATGTTTTTTTCTGATAAAAAAGTTAAATGGCTTCTTTTTGCATTCATTCTTATATCCTTATTAAATGGCCATATCAAGCACGTGCAAAATTTTTTATGGTAAGTTCTTTGATGTAAAGCGATTTTCTCAACCATATTTTCATAGCTGATTTTAAACGGCAATTGAATTTATTTTCCTGCAGTAAAAATATTATTTCTGTGATGATATTCAGTTGTTATTTAAATCGACAATTGATATACATATTTATTTATAAATACCCCATTTTAAAGTACAAACTTTTCGCTTTATATTTATATAATTTTTAGTCTATTCATACTTTCATATTACACCGCATCCGCACAGTAAGTCCTCTCTTGTATTTCTTAATGCAATTAAATACACTTCAGCAATAGTAATAAACTAATCTGATTAAGATGGCACTATCTCATCCCATGAAACTCTGATTTAAGAGAAAGATGGACGGCAAAGCTAATTCCGAACGTAAAGTCGTGGATGAAAAGCAGTTTCAGCGAGATTGATTATTATGTCACACATTTCCTATCTGGTCATGGATATTTTCGAAAATATCTATACAGAATGCAAAAAGCAGAACAGCCTTTCTTCAACTGCGAAAGATGGCATGAAGAAAGAACACTACTTGCAAAATATATAGGTCACTTCGCAGTCGAGAATGTCGTAGAAAAAATGACAGAACGAGCAAAAAATTGAAAAAAAATCACACAATTAATCGGAAATATGCTAACGGAAAAGAAGAAAGATCTGAACGCAAAGTAATCTAAAACGAAGAGCAATCTGATAACATTCCAATTCGGATCAGGAGTGGGAGCCTGTACGCAGGTTTTACGGGAAGCATATGACATGGATAGCCAACTTATAAGGGATCCACCCTGAAGTAATGCGAACGAGGTGCCGGAGGGAGAAAAAGTCAGAAAAAGAGGGAGTGTTTTAGTTCGTATACTACAAAGTAGGAGTCGGACATTCCATACCGGCAACGGTGGGTTTGGCGATGCATAAATAATTAACCACAAAAAAAAATCTCATCGCATCAAAGATATTTAAAAAAAAAACAATAGTGAAATAGTGAAACAAGTTATAATAGTCATATAGTTAAAATTCTTAAAACAAATTTTTTTATCAATACAGCTAATTAAATTCATATTTATTGCGTAATTCATTATAAATTTACAATCTTTTATTACTAATTGTTTCAAGGCAAAAAAAACCTTGCCTGCAAAGATCAAACGAAAGTGAAGTTAAACATTATTATGAAACAAAAAGTGCAAAAATTAAAATCTGATAGTAAATATTCTCAGTTAAGAGCCCTAAAATTATTCAATAAAGTCGATACGTTGCCCAACCCCGCTCTAACAAACCTTAAGTCCATCTCAGGACGCACAGGAAGATATGCTGATCTGATGATTCCTGTATAGTTAAAGTTTAGTGTGGGGCAGGGATAAGCCCCCCAGCCGCAATAGAGTAAAAGTGCGCAATAGCACTAACTCAAATCATAACAACAACAACAAACATTCTATACTTCATTGCATTTTTAATTAATTGGTGAGTCTCTCCCAATAACTAACATTACGATCGCTCAATACCGGTATAATCCTATACTTATTTAGTAAGGCTTTTCCAAAATATATTATTTTATATTTCTTTAATATTAGGTTCCTACTTAAGGAGTTATGCATAACTTGTGTTTATTTCAATATAATATATATTGAAACAAATTTTTGAACGCACTTTTTAAAAAGTAAAAATTATTAAGTTAAACTTATACTTATTATATATAAAAAAGAAAAAAAAAACAAAAATTATTTTTAACTTATTTTGATTTTTATACATCACTAGATCTATATTTAT